TACATCATGAAATGAAAACCAGCTAAAAAATAAAATCAGGAGCATGAATATGTTCCTTTAGGGCATTTATGCCCTTTTCAGAAATGATCTGTTCACATACAGTTCTTTAAAAAACATTTTATTCTTACCTCACATGAAGCTGGCATTTTTTCCTTTGATTCTCTTATTGTTTCAATGTAATAGTCTACCTTTCTAAGAAAATAATTGTGGGTTTTTTTTAGTTGGAAGTCATTAAAATAAATAGAAGTATTGAAATGCATCACCCTGCAATTAAACAGTGAAATTCATAGAAAAAAATAAACTTTTTAAAGATATTCAAACATTCTGGGTTATCTGTTATCTCCATTTATTGATGAGACATAAACTGGTTTCCTTCTCACCTCGGAGGAAGCAGAATATGATCTCTTTGAGCATCTCTTTGTGGATCTCAGGGTGAGTGATGGAGTTCAGTAGCCTCCTCTTCTCTTCGTGGGCAAAGATGATTTGGCCGAGCTTCTGCCGGTCAATCTCCCCGTTTTCCAGCAGAACCTCGGGCCCAAAGTGATAGACAATCCGGGAATAGGCGGGAGTGTGCGGCTCCACAACTGACAAAGAAATTAAAAAACATTTTGGTAATGTCATTACAACCAACTGAAACAGTTAAAATATTGTTTCATTAAATAGACTAATACAATAATTAAATGTCTTTGAACCAGGAGCAGAGTAAACAATTTCCTTTCTTCTAATCAAACATTAAACAGATTCATAATTTGCCTGTGAATATATCTTTTGCATAATCCCTATTTTTATTATCTTACATACAGCTTCACACTCCTCTCCCGCTCCAGCGACCTTTTTAATCTTTGCTACATTGCTAAGATGTCATCCCTGAAGTCAACGTCGACATCCCTTATGATTCATAACGCTCTCTCCAAGCATTTGTCTTAATGAATCCTTTTTATTTGATGCAGCCTGAAGATATCTTTGAGAGGATGACGCTTTTAGAAGATGCTGTGGATACGGGGCTAGTTTACAGAGCAGAGATACCGAACCTACCTTTCCTGGCCACCACATCCGCATCTATAATGGGGCAGCCGAGCTCCCGCAGCATTGAAGACACAGTGCTTTTCCCCGAGGCGATCCCTCCAGTAAGTCCCACCAGGAACATCCTGAGGCGAAGACACAAAAAGATGAATTCAGTAATAACACTAATCCGACCTTCTCTTTTGGATGTTATCAATTTCAAACTGTTTAAAAGAATAAATGACCTTTTAAAAGGTTTGCAGATGACTTCCACCCATCCAGGAATAAAAGTAAAGGTATATCAGGGTACACATACACCAATCAGAAGTTTAGACACACTTCCTATGTCTTAATTTTTTATTACACTTCAGCCAAAACCAAAACACTTCAGGTGACTAAATCAAAAACCAACAAAGCACAGCACATTATTCAAAATAAAAAGTGAAGAAGCTAAAAATACAAAAGTTGTTTTTAAGTTACTTCACAAGTTTTGGATTTTTGCTAAATAACTCTATAAACCTTTGCTCCATAGTTTGGAGCCTTCACTATGCATCAACATGGAAGAAAGTGAAAAAAATAAGGAAAAGTCTCCAAATAAAGGAATGTCCAGACTTTTGACTAGCAGTGGAAATGTGCCAAAATGATGGGCCAAATCATTTTGGAAAAATATAGATACACAAAATAAATCGAGCTTCCAACTAGAAATAAGGACGCCAAGCAGTTGGTCTCAAATTGGGTTTTTATTAGTCAGAAATAGTTTCTGTTAGCCTTCACTAGGCTTCTCCCATCTCTCCCATGGGCTGTCAGCAGGAGCGGCGGCTGCAGTAAGTGTTCAAAGATTGTTGTAAACTTAAAAGCTTACCATCAATGTTTTCCAAAAGGTTTTATAATTCTGGTTTTTTTATTCCCTCTCCAACCCCAGCCTTTAGACCTCTTTATTTTAATTTAATTAGTTAGTCCAATACAAAGTACTCAACAATTGGAAGGCTTTGCATAAGCCCAATTGAGAAGTGTCATTTGAAATAGTTATAGCCATAAGCCATGTATTCAGAAACGCATATGTGGCAGAAACCTAACCGTTCATACCACCTTGAACGCACCATTTCCATAGCAAAAGGTGGTGGTGGTAGCATCAGAGGTCCGCAGCACAGGATGGAGCAGAGCTGGACATGGCTTAAATTGGTAGTGATGCTGTGGGCTGTTTAGTGGTAGAAAATGTGTTCAGTAACCTTGAAGCAACAACTTGAAGCAATTTCCATTATTTTCTAAAAGAGTAGTGCTAGATTGTAGGGAGAAGCTGGATGTGAAAGTAATAAAAAAGATTAACCATACCAGTACAGTCATAATAGAAAAGCAAAGCACTGACACTTAATGTCACTGTGACATGAAAAAGAAATTGAAATGATTTTACAAACCAATAAGAAGGAAATCCTTTAGAAATCAGCTACCAAAAAGCAGATGGCAACAAGCAGCTGAAAAGGTTTCTGGAAAGTGTTTATTCTATTCCGCAAGTCAGACTCCGGTGCTGCATTCTCTACATGTGTGGGCTGAGAAAAGGGTTTGAAGACTGGAACATTTACGTACAAATAAAGAAAGGCTCTGACAAAGTTTCCTAAAGCAGGAGAAAGTACAAGGATCTGATGAAACTGAAAAACAACACTGTGTTACAGGAAAATCACACCAAAACCACAGCGATACATGACGGTGGCTGAATCATGCTTTGGAGTTACTTTTTCAGATGGAAGTGAAGTTTTTTAAAATTGTGGATAAAGTTATGAATACTTGTATTGCATTGTCTTGTAAATATCTGACAGAAAGCTGAAGACGACGAAGAAGGATTTCAAATTTCTAACCATCACACATCCAACCAATTAAAAAAAATAAATAATCCCAAGGACAGAGTTTGCCTAGGTAGTTTCCTTAAAAATGTTATATGGTAATCAGATATATTAATCTACCAAGGGCTGAGGAGAGATGTCTTAAAGTCTTCTAAAGTAGGGCAAGGAAAAATTATCAAGTCAAGAGGCAGTTTTCAATGACTATTCAATGACTGAATTGACTCAATTGTAACATGTTGTTTATACATCTAATGTAAAAACAGCATATTTTCAAGACAAACAAATCTAAGTGAAAGAAGCTTATGTTATGTAGTAAAGAAGTAAAAGAAGCAAACAACACACATTTCAACATAACTAAGTATGAAAAAGTAAACGCTAATACTTCACAGGAAAATTTCTTTTGGAATATAATTTCATGTCTTGCAGCTTTTTGTAAAAAAAGCAGTTTCACTTAAGTTATTTTAATGCCTTTCAGGAACGTAAATCAGAATATTAATTAAGCACAGTAGCAGTGATTCCTGGATAAATCTATGAATCATTCTAAATAATTAGTATTAGGTATAAAAAAATCCAGGTTAACAGCATTTATAATAACACATGATGAAAATTGTAAAATAAAGCAATAAACCTGTCAATTTCCCAAATTTATAACTTTTTAAAATAAGAATTCTCGTAATAACTTAGGAAATTAAAATAAAGATGAAATTTCATGAGTAAATAAAAAAAATAAAATAGAATTATATCATAAAGGAAAAGATACATAAAAATGTTTTAACAATTCCTGCATGTGTCTGTGTTCTTGTCTCTATTCATACGCCCCCTGCTGGGGATGAAAAGAGTAACATGTTAAGTACAATTAATGTCATGTCTACAAAACTGGTTACCAAACTGGTTTCACTGGTCTAAATTTTTGAAACAAAGTTTATTTCGTCTAAATGCTTGATTATATCTTAACGTTCTTTTGAAGCTAAATTTAACAACATCCACTCCTTCAATTACTACCTTAAAACTATAGTAAAATGACTGCAACTTTAACGACAGCTAATTTCGTAAAGACAGTTTTTCAAAATGTATTTATGTTTACCTTCTTTTAGTCAGAGAATCGTTAAATCGGCTGAGGTAAAGTAGAAATCCGATGAGGGGTCACAGTGCTACAGCATTCAAAACAGCCAGGATGCTAACAGGCTAACGTTAGCAACAGTGTTTATCAGGTCAAAACGACCACAAACTTTCGACCAAACGACGCCGTCATCTTAGAAATAAAAGTCAGAGCTGAAGACAAGCAAAGTGTTTGGATATAGCTCTATGACAGAACACCGCAGATTTTATACTCCCATGAACACCCTATTTAAAAATAAACTAGCCTCCTAGCTAGTCCAGGTCCAACCTCTATATGACACCGGTCTAACTTCTTCTATGAACATTTGTTCCGCCCCATATAGAACTACAGGTTTCTTCCCTTTCAAATATGTCAAAACAGGTACCCGACTCACCCCATATTATAATGTAAAATTCAAATGTAATCTAAATCTTCATTTTTTTAAGGGTTTCTCTAAATGCACACCAGTTTCTCGTTAAAACTTAAATTCATTGTGTTAAAACAAATCTTTGTTTTCCAGTATTTTATATGTTGAATACTGTTTAACTGCCACTGCAGATAAGCAGTATGTTTGGTTAACCTGCAAAGAAAACTGACTGCTGGTCAAACACCTACTCTGTATTTTAATTTGAAGGGCTTGCAGATTAAAATAGAAATACAAAAATTAAGATGAATACTGACTATTGTAAAATAATCCAATAAAAAAAACCCCAAAACATTACGTTTCTTACCATTAGATTTTTTTAGATTAATTTTACATAATTAGAATAACACTTCAATTACTACGCAGATCCTCTTTCGAATATTTCTAATTTGCTTAGGATCTGTTCCTATCAGCTGCTGAACACCTGAAAAATACCCTTGGCATGAAATAAGGATGTAGGCTGCTATAAAAAGATCTTGTATCTGTAGTGATTTCCGGAATATCAAATATAGTTTTCTATGAGATAAAGATAATCTAATATATAAAAAATACACAATGACAAAAAAGCTTTCAAATGCTGATTTCATTTGTTAGAATAAAATAAAAAGAAACACTGAGTTGCATACTGCTACTCGTAAATCTGGAGAAAACGGAGAATATTTATCTAAACAGTATGCTTAATTAGAAAAAAAAAAAGTTCACAAACAAAAGTATTAAAATAAATGAAAAAAGAAATATTTTTCCTTAAATGAAATCCTTTTACTTTTTTTTGTCTTCTTAAAAGCAACAAAATCAAAATCCTCCAAGTCAGTTATGGTCCAAAACAAAAATTAATCCTCCTCTTTCTGATCGAAGCTTTGTTTTGGGATCTCAGAGGAAACAGATGGAGGGCGCGCATCGTAGGAATTTTTGGATTTCTTCCCTCTGTAAATCATTTCATCTCCGTTCTCCCCCTCCTCTCGCTCCAGCCTTCCTCTTTTAACAAAGTGGTTTATCCTGGACTCCAGGCTCTCGCAGCATGGACGCTGCATCAACGGCCGGTAATTTTTCTGCCTGCTGCCTTCCAGCAGCCAGCAATGGTCGGAAGAAACACCACCTGTGGATTTGAGAGCAACAACCTAATTTGCATGACTCAAAAACCATTTCATTTTTTTCCAGTGTTTTTTTTCTCTTAAATTTTTAAAGCTGGTTGTGTTAAAAGGGGCTTGCATGAGTATTCAGGCGTCTTGAAACATTATATTCTCATTTCACAACAAATCAAAATGCTTTATAGCACCAAATTTGCTACATGTCTCTGCCAATATTTCAATTCTTCCCCTTTACAAAAAGAAAAAAAAAGCCCTCAGTCTCAATAAGATTTAGTTTGACTGGGTCTTTCCCATAAATTTTAATCTAAACCATCTCATTATGTGTTAGCTGCATGTTCTTATGCTGGAAGCTAGTCTATTAAAAGTTTTTTTTCCCTCTTTACGCTGCATTTTGGTACATCAAGCCCCATCAGTCTAAACATTTTTTGTCATATTTGGTCATTTTTGAAAGCTACAAATTCTCACCTCTCTCCTCCAAACCCTGGATCATCCCGAGCAGAAGGTGGGCTTTGACTGCACTCTGCGTCCAGTGTCGCTGCAGTGACGACAGAACGTGATTAACCTCCTCAGTCTCCTGCTGCCAGCTTAAACCTTCAAAGTGGCAGTCGTACAGCACCAGAGGATAGTCCACTGCCATGCTGCAAACCAGAGAAAGCAAACTTTAACAACTTACCTGCTATTGCCCTCAACCAGCTCAGCAAACTTTTTTTAATGGGCTGGATTTTGAGGCTCTGCTTTAGGGGCTCAATCTAAAAAGTTATCAATAGGAAGCTACAGAATTTCTCTTCATCTTTCAATCAATTCTTATCTTTTACCAGAAGAAAATATAAATTTACCCTAGAGGGGTTTTATCATTTAATATTTTACCCATACAAGTTTGATTTAAAAGAATCTACTGCCTTTTGGCCTTTGACTTAGAAATTACCTGGTTTATCCACAAAAATACATATTTAATGTAATATTTAATGTTAATACAATACATTTTATACCATTTGTTAGTTATGTTAGCACAGATAGATGACATCATACCCACTCCGCTTTGTTTAAAAAAAATATAAATGTAAAAAATATAACCGCGGATGTCTGGGGGACAGTGATTCTCCTACATGCTATGAATGCTGGCGTACCATAAATGATAAATTATGAACGGTTTAGTTAATGCCTTCAACTCGTTGCTCATGGGAAGACGTTACTTTGATATAACAAAACTGAATATCCTCGGAACATATGGGTGAGTAGAACATGATGTAATATCATAAAATAAAGGGCCCAATGTAAAAAAAAAAAACAAAAAACGGTGTTCCCTTTTAAGTAGCCATTAAAAAAAAAAGAAAAAAAAAAAACATTTCACTTGATGTTCAACCATTTATAAAACAATCTACATCCCTTTGTTATAGTCTCCATAGTGCATAATGCATGTGAAAGGAAATGGCATGCATATTGTAATCCACATAGTTACAATACGCATGCAAAAGCTTGAACTCTGGAAAGTTCCTCAGAACAGGAAGTTTCCCACCAACTTTGACCCCAAAATATGGCAGCCATGCTTGTAAGACTTAGCCACTGAGCTCTATTTATTCGCTGGATTGCTGATAGGCCGGAAAAACTGATGTCACCTGCCACCATCTTGGTACTCCCCACTTTCAAAGAGTTGTGCCATAAAAATGCCTGTAATGTAATCAATACATTTATATGAGAAGTACATCGTCAATTTAGCACTTCTGGCACATCATCAGATAGTGTGTGTGTAATATTCCTAATATCTATATCTTAATATCTATATTAGTATTATTATGCTCCATTGACACGTTCATTTTGTCCAGATGGATTTGTACATGTTATACTACATCATTTATGCAATGTGATGTCCCTATTTTTTTACCTTAAATGACAGTAATCTACTTATGCTATGAAACAGTAAGTGTGTTTCAAAGTGATGAGCTTATCTTTGTTGTAAAAGACTGAAGCCCCCCTGAAAATGAGAAAATCCTCTTTGTTCAATGATGTAGCGCATATATTGTTTACATTCCAACTGGTCTAACTAGGAAGTACCAATATGGTGGCCAGTGACATCACAGCACCATGTACTACCAACGGCCAATCAGCTATCCAGTGAATAAATACAGATCAGTGGACTTAGCAGACCTCAACTAAAATATTTATTTAAATGACTGACATACTTGTTTCACACACAAAATACACATCTTCCTTTACTGAACTTGTTGCTTTAGTTTTTCAAAGTAGAAAATGCGAAAAAGAACGACAACCCAAAACATTATGAGCTTGTATTGCTAATAAGTCCAACCGTGGTTTACCCTTGCAGCTCCTATTCAATAACGAATCCAACCACTGCTTTAACCTGTACTAAAAACAGCATTAAGTTGGATTTGACATAGAGATCGACCGATAAGGTTTTTTTTAGAAGATACTGTTTCGTATATCAGGACAAACGATCCTCCATATGTGCTGCCAGTTTCTTTGGGCTGAATTATTCATCCGATATTGCTTTCTCCTCCTCCATTACCATGATAAAAATGTTATACAAGTCTCAATTTAAACAAGAAACATAAAATAAAATGTATCTGTACCAATGCAATGTATCTCAGACAATGCATGAGATACACTAATGTATCTGCAAACATATGCACAGATCCGCAGATGTCAGAAGAAAAAAAAACCAACAACAATAAGTGCCAAATATGTCAGCTGACTGATATCCTTTTCCAGGTCCAAAACTGAGAGCCACAGAACCTTTTTTTTTAAGATACAAAGATCAATGCAAAGACCTGAAAGCAAAATTCTTCTGTTGTCCAATAAAAGCAGCCTTAGCACCAACAGGCTGCTGTTTCATCACCTGTACTGAGGCTTTCTGGGGTTATTCTTAACATCCAGGAGTTCATCAATAATCTCTGGAGCCTCCAGCTTCTGTCCAATCAAAAGTAGCACTGCCATCATACAACGTACCTGCAGCAAGACATATGTAGTTAATAGCAGATTAGGATAGGTTACACAGGTGTTTAATGACAGCAATGAGTGTGTTAAGCTGTTATTACCTGATGGTAGAGGAAGGCTAAACCTTTGACCTCAAACACAAACACCTCATGCTGATCTGTACTGGAAACCACCCGGGGGTGTGCAGGCCTGACTGATGCTGACAGGATGGTCCTCTCAAACTGCAGGACACCATTTCCCACATCCATCTTGCACAGGTTGCGAAAGTCATGAGTCCCCTCATATCTGATGTGCACCATTAAATATTTATCCAACAAAAATCACAAGCATTTATCTCAGTTTAATTTCGCACTCACTTTTTTGCAGCGTTTGCCATCAGCTCTACATCTAAGAACCCTCGGGGGAAGTAGTACCGGTACGTGCGGGACTGGCAGTCGAAGCGTGCACTGAAACCTTGCTCTACGGGGGCCCAGTCCAAGATCTGGATGTCCTGTGGCAGAACTCTGTTCAACATTTTCACATATGGAAGCTCAGAGGTCGATTCCTTGGATTTGGCAGTGAGATCGAGACTCTCAGGGAGACTGACACCGAGTCCTCCGCAAAACTGGGTGGATCGCAGGTCAATGGTTATAACCTGGGAAAAAAAGAATATGATCATATAGGTGAATTTGTTCAGTTTATTACTTCAGTCTTAATCTGAGACAGACAGAGAACGCTTAATAGGGATTTAGGAACTTTTTTTTTTGGATTTCTAAAACAGGTTTGACATTTATTTTTTAAATAATTTACTCTGACACTCCAAAATAAAATTAGAAAACGGCAGAAGCATAGAGCAAAACAACAAAAATCCAAGAAAAAAATAGCTGACCTTAACTTTCCAATCTAATAATCCAACTTTTATTGAAAAACACTAGAAGTTTGCTGTCATCTATGTGACAGAAGCCACATAGATGACTGCAAAGGTATCTTTCGAAGGTGCTACGGTCAGATGAGACCAAAACATTACTGTAAAGCCTTTGTAAAAATAATTACTTTGTGTGGTAGAAAACAAAAAAGTGCTTAGCACAGCCAGCCATCCATGAAGCACGGTGATGGTGGCATGATGCTGTGGGAATACCTTACTTCTGCAAGAACCAGAAAGCGGGTCAGAATGGATTTTGTATTACATTTATTTAGGAAGGCATTGAAGGACTGATTTTTTTAAATTCACCTGAGAAAAAGCACTGACTCCTTTATCAGTTCGTCCACAGCGATGATAGTTGGAGCTCTGTCTGTCCTGGATCAGCCGTGTCTTCAGCAGCGCTTCAAACAGCCTGGCCTCCACTGTGTTGTCTGTGTTCTCCTGAACAGCAAAGCCCTGGTAGGACCAACCCAGGTAAGCCAGCTTCAGGGCCACATGGCGCCGGGGATGGGAGCTGAAGTCAAAGGGGCGCTGCTTTCCTGACCTCTTCCTGCTGCTCCTGTCAGACATGGTGCAGTCTGGGCTTTCACTGGGAGGTGAACAGGACATCATTCCCAAATCCTCTCCAGCTCTGGTGGTTTGCCCCAGCTGGGACCTGAGCTTCTCAAGCTCATCTTCTAGCTCCTTAATCTTCTGGATTAAAGCATCTGACATGCTCCTGCTGATTGAAGATTTAAAAAAAAAAAAACATACAATAAAACACCTGACACTCATTTGAGTAAAATCAATATGCATTTTAGAAACAAACAGTACACATATTATCCACTGTATTAATCGATTTAAAATAAAGATTATATATCCAACAAAAAATTCATGCTATTTTCTTTAAAAAAGCAAGCTTAACCAGAAAAACCCTAATATATCAATGCATTCCTTTTCCAGAACCGCTAAAGCCTCCAGCTAGCTTAAAATAAAGAATGAATAAGATGTATTTAAGTCCCATAGCAACGGTTGTAACTTCAACTTCTGTAAATGTGCGTTTACCTAACCTTATATCTTTATGCTCCAATTAAAGTTCAATTTTCGAACAAATCTCCGACTTTCTGTAACAACCACGCTGCTCTCCGTGTTCCTGTTAACGTGTAGGTGGAGACTTTTAGCAGGAGAACGTTTAGCTCGCAGAGGATTCTGGGAAGTGTAGTTCACGACGGAAACGCTCCTTAAAAAAGGGAACAGGGCATTGTTCCTTGATGTTAGTTTTCACCAGACCAGACTGCTAGCAGTGTGTTTATTTACTTCAAAATTAAGAAGTCGTTCTAAGAATTAAGACACAAATAGTTCCCTTTTTCCAATCAATTGTTGAGTACTTTGTTATGTTAGCTTCACATTTTGAATGTGTCCCATAATGCCTTACATTTAGACACTTTTTACCATAGTTATAGCTGCACATTTTATTTCAGAATGCTGACTTTTTTTTTAATCAGATTTCTGACTTTTTCTCAGAATGCTGACTTTTTTCTTAGAATATCTGACTTTAACCTCAGGATTCTGACTTTTTTCCCATATTAAACTGAAATAAAATAAAAAAATCGGTTAACTTTTTTTTTTTTTTTTTCAGTGGCTCTAATCCTCTTCTATAGCCTGCTCCTCACTGTTTGGAGCATACATTTTTGATCCAAGACTCTCCATTGCCACTTTTGTTTTGGGTAATTTTCTTACTGAAAGAGAATATTTGGCCCACTTTCAGGTTTTTCAAAGACAAGCAGTTTTTCTTCCAATATTATCTTATATTTAACCATCTTCCATACTTCCAAAATTTATCACAACTTTGCTAATTAGGTATCCTAATTTATAGTATTGATGGGTTGATTCAGAGTGAGTCGACCTTTGACCTGTATAAAATGATTTTAGCTCTGTTTTTAAAAGCAACCTATATCAAAGTAATATAAGAGCTCCAAACTTGCTCATTAGGCATTAGCAATGCAGTTTTGGGTTGACTTTTAATCACAACTCCAAGATTGCAAATATGTACCTTGATATTTTTATCTGTGTCCCACTCAGATAGATATCCAGCTTCCCAGTTGATGATGATGGTGCCACTACCATATTTGACCACTGGGAATTTTGTGATTAATATTTAAATATGATCCAAATGTTGTCTTTTTGGAGTTTTTGTGGACTTATCTTAAAGGGTTAGAGGTATGCAAGGTTTAAATAAGTCTGCCGGCTTTTAGAAAATCTCCAAAGGGCAATATGACCAATTATTATGATGATGATGGTGTCAATTGTAATACACCCCTATTCTTCTTTTGAGATCTTTGAAACACCATAGTTTTGTCTGATGTGAGCATCTGTTGCCAATAGACTCAGTCAAACTGGTTAAATAGAATAATTTGCATGTAAAATGCAAGTTGACAACACTAATAATATACAAATTATAAGAGGATTTAAATAATATAATATTAATGTAGCAATAATTGCAGTCCAAACAGTCCTTTGTTATAAGAGCAATGTGCACACAGATACCATGATCATTCAAATTCAGCAGGTTTGTCACATATTATACAAAACAATTTTTAAGAATATAATTAGTCATGTATTTTGAAAGAAAGGCAAAATGATGTTCAAACAGTTTATTAGTGACTTAGTAGCTGTCTTAAGATGGCTGTTGTGATGAATCAGTCGATGTTTTGATAATTCTTGCTTTTAATCTTGAGACACAGGCACATGCCAACTAACACTCCAAACACCTGCAACGATTAAAGCAGTTAAGCGTTAGATGCAGTCAATAAAAAGGTTACTCATAATAATAATAATTAGATTGATATGTTAGCTTATGATGAATATGTTCAAACATAATCTAAGGTTGGTTTCTTAAGCAGTTTACCTCAGTGATTCCAAGAGCGATGCAGACACCGCCAACCCATACCAGATTCTTTAACAGAAAAAACTTTATAGCTGAGATGCATCCCTGAAGAAAAAGACAAAAAGCTGAATTTTTGTCCTAAGACATGGGGTTAGGCTCCTAAGCTGAAATATCTCAGCAGAGCAGACCTTTTTGAACACTTTTTCCTTGTCTTGTCCACAGCCTTCTGTTTTCTCTGGGCAGCAGGAATCTGGCACTGCATCATGGTTTTTCCAGCCCTCACTGCTGAACCAGTCAGTGTAAGATTCAGCGCCACAGCAGCTGAACTGCAGCAGTTAAAAAAAGTTAACAATGAAAGTTAGAAGTTAGAGTTTCCTAAAAGTGAATGTTCCGGATACCTTGAATACATTTAATCAGTTTTAAAAACAAAGGTACACATTCTTAAATACTGTTTGGGTAAAACGTTAACATACATTCATAATTGATTTTAATAAATTATTCTAATTTAAGAGGGACTGCATGGTGGTATTATTTTTAACACTGTTATAGCAAGAAGGTCCTTGGTTCAATTACTGACCTTGGGGTATTTGCATGTTCTCTCTGTGTACTACAGCTTCCTCCCACAGTCCAGAATCATTACTATGTCGTGAATTGGTCCCTACAGTTCCCTTATGGTGTGCTTGCTACTTTTGCTTTATAGCCCTGCAAAGACTGGCGACCTGTTCAGGGTGCAGCCTGCCTTTCACCTATAGACTGCTAGAGGTGGGAAGCAGCAGTTATCCTGGATGGCAAGCAGTAGAAGACTTCATATACATATTTCAACCACTCCTTTTAAATAGTTGACTAGTGATTCAAGACATATATTCAATGCCCTTATAAAAACACTTACTTAAAAAAAATATAAATATTCTCTCTAATCATCCATCCATTTTCTATCACACTTATCCCAAGCTGGGTCATGAGGGGTGCTGGTGCCTATCTCCAGCTGTCTACGGGCCAGAGGCGGGGTACACCTTTGTGAGGTCGCCAGTCCATCGCAGGGCAACACAAAGACCAACAGGACAAACAACCATTCCTGCACACACTCACAACTAAGGAGAATTTAGAGAAGCCTATTAAATTTAACAGTCAGTTCTTTGGACTGTGGGAGGACACCGGAGTACCCAGAGAGAACCCACACATGCTCAGGGAGAAAATGCAAACTCAATGCAGAAGGAAACCCAGGCCAGGAATTGAACCCAGAACCTTCTTGCTGCATGGTAGCAGTGCTACCCACTGTTTCACTGAGCAGCCCTGAGCAGCTCTCTAATCATCATAAGAAGAAAGTTATATTTACAGAACCCAGAACACTGATAATGTTTTTAATGTCCCTTAGCAGATTATATTTGATCATAAGTTTTATAAGCTATCAATGAGCTCTTAGAGCAAACCTCATGGAATATTTGACAACTCTTTTCTTGAGAAATAGGCCCCGTCCACACGAAGACGAACCCTGGCCTAAACGCACAAATTTTTCACCAAACCAGCCTCTCATCCACAAGCCGGCGTTTCGGGGGTCTGTAAACGATCTTTTTTTTATTCAGCCTTCAGAGTGGGAAGATTTTGAAACGCCGTTTTCGCGTTTCCATCTTTACGCTCTAACCGCTTGGCATCCCAGCAGGATACAGCAATTAATGCTAGTCGACACATGTTCCCAGCTCAGAGCTTTTCAGAGGCCTTTGGAGAAGCTCAGTGTTTACTGCAGCTGATGTGCTTGTGGTGTAATTGTCCCGCTGGAACATGAAAATATATCAATATTTCAAACTTCTGATCTGATCTGTCAGACTCAGATAGATGGAAATCAGTGGTTTGGTTAAGGAACTAACCTAAAACCCACCACGTGATAGCTTGTTTTCACCAGTAGACTACTAGAACACCAGTGTTTAGATCCACTAAGAAGTCAGCATTATGTAACGGCTGATAGGTCATGTTGCAGAATCGAAACCTACAAAATAAGATAAATTTTTTGCCAGTGCTAACATGGACAAATGAGAAAAGGAGATTTAGCTTTTTGGTCACAAAGTTTTTTTTTTTTTTTCTGTCCCTTTTCTTTCTTTGTTTTGTTATATTTTATGTGTGTGTCTGATTGGAGGGATTGGGGCTATGATTGGGTCTAGTTCTGATTCGCCGCCCCAGCTTCCCCCATCTGCTGCGCCAACTTGTGACATGCCATGGCTCCCGGGGCACTGAGCTGGTCAGTGGTGCATGAGGCTGTCCAGGGTGCCTGGCTCTCTCAGACACTCGGGGGGTGAGGGCTCTGCTGGGGCAGTTTGGTGGTGCTCTTGTGGGGCTTGGGTTTCGGCCCTTGTCCTGTGTCTGGGGGATCAGGGCCTGAGAGACGTTTATCTGCAAATTTCATTTTAACATTTAGAGAGAAATCTTAAAACACTAAATGCACATAATATAAAAACTGCACAAGCTGTTTGTCTGGTAGGGTAAGCCTGATAGTCTGTGGCCCAATCCCAAACCGGCCCCTGAACGCTAACCCGGAGCACCACTCATGCGGCGGGTCCGCCACATTAAGGGCCAACTCAAACCACCTATTGGGTATGGCCAGTGGAACATTCAGCCCTTATATAGCGAGCCTGCATCAGTTGCAGGCTAGCTGGAATTCGGCAGCACGTGTTACAGCGGCCTGGTGGTGGAGGAAACATGTTCCGCCAAATGTAAATTCGGCAGATTTGCTGCATCTTCATCACACTGAAATCACAAGTTAGTATAGATTTAATCTTCCTGCTAAATATGCCTTCTCAATAAAGGGGATATATGTTCTAATGGGTATAATTACCTTGGTAAAACACCTGTAAATATGATTTTTATCATATGTAAATTCGAGGAGCAATAAATGTGTTATTTTCTCTAATCAGTCAATACTACAAAAAGAACAGTTTGAATAAATCACAAAAAATTGCAGTATCTACGTACACATTGTCAGGGCATTGACATTTATCACTGTACTTGTTCTGGCTCCTGGTAATTAAAAAAAATCTATCACCATTAGGCAATAATGGTTTACTACATCTTCTACAACTGTTTTTTAAAAATCCTCTTTTCTTGAATGGATCTCTGAAATCTTTCCATATTTCTTCAAATTCACCTTTTCCTGAATTCTGTCTATGGCATGTCGGGTACTGGGGTTATAAATATGGACCACTGCCTTAGCTTGGATGTTGATGCCGCTATTCACCTGCAGGAGGACAGTCTGCAAAAAAAAGATAAAAAACAAATCTGTGGTGACATAAGCACTGTGTTTTAATTTCAATGGCAAACACTATTGTAATAAAATAAATACAAAACAAAGCACATGCAAAGAAAAAAATGCTTCAAGTAGCAAAAACAATTGGAAGTTATAAATCATTAACATAGCGGCTAAATTGTAGCTTCAAGCTCTTGTTCAATATTATGTGACTCCCCCTTTCTGAAATTCCTTTCCCAGTTAGGATAGGAAATGCTGAATCTGATGAGCCTACAGAGTCTGGGCTGCATTACTGGTATTAAGTTGGACAGGATATTTTGGACTCAAAGTTGGCGGCGCTCTGTTACCGGCCTTGTTCATAATTTATGTAATTTTCTATAGACAGGATTTTCCAAGGCCATGGTTCTTAACCGGAGAAAGGTGGCTTGCCCTCTCCAGGTTAAAGGAGAGTACAGCAGCTCAAGTATCTTGGCATCTGGTTAATTAGTGATGGCAGAATTGAGCCGGAAATTGATAGACGGCCATAATGAGGATGCTGCACTGGTTTGTTGTCATGAGGTGAAGGCGAAGCTCTTAATTTACTGGTCTATACTCCTCCTACCTTCATCTATTGTCATGAAATGAAGGTAGGAGTATAGACTGAAAGAACAAAATCAAGCCACCAAAATTAGCTTTTTCTGCAGGTTGGCTGAGCATTTTTCTCCAAAGAGGTGCTGCAGGCATGTCCCATTGGGAGGAGGCCCAGGAAACCATAAAAAAAAGAGGCTTCCCTACTGTTCCACACGATTTCCAATGATTATTCTGCGTAGCAGTGTGATGAACCTCAACTCCTGTCGTCGCTTTTTGCCTCTGTAAGCCCTGATTAGATTATCTAGATCAGGCATCCCCAACCTCGGTCCTCGAGGCCCGCTGTCCTGCAGGTTTTAGAGGTTTCCTTGCTCCAGCACAGCTGATTTGAATTGAAAGCTGATTAACAGGTTTTTGGTCTACTGCAATCATTATAATCAGCTGTGCTAAAGCAGGGAAACCTCCAAAACCTGCAGGACAGTGGGCCTCGAGGACCGAGGTTGGGGATTCCTGATAGATTACCTCTAGAGAGGAACTAGTGTGGTTTGTAAATGCTAAACAAGCAAACAAACATGGTGCCACCCGTAACACTCGGGCTGTTTCCGGAGAGTCAGGCAAAGAAGGCAGCCTTTGGTAAAGTTACTTGAAAGAGTCGACTTTTGGGAAGTGGATACGACAAACGATAGTCTAATCAGGGCTTAGAGGTTCATCACACAGCAGAGTCATCACTGGAAATCGTGTGGCACGGTAGGGAAGCTAGTATTTTTATGAATGTCTGTAATTTCATGATTATGGAGGCTGATCTTAAGGAGATCATGCGGTTTGCTCCTGCACTCTTTCTTATCTGAGAACTGTACCAGAACTGGCCTCATGTTAGTACAACACATTCTCACTCCCAACTCGTCACATATTGACGTTTTTTCAGGTACCCTGTGTTGGTTAGTACGGTTTGGTTGTGTCTGGCGCGGTCCGGTGCAGTTGTGCCGGCCATTTACACTCAACAGTTATCTTGGTTACCATGCTCGGACCGATCTCAGCATGGTTTCAAAAGGGTAGTGTAAATGGGGCTTTAGTATTAATCTCGTGTTTCATAGACTCAGTTTGATTTTGCCAATCCTTTTTTGAGTTGCAGGGCCATTTCAATTTGTTTGGGGGGAAAAAATGAATCTATATGGTGTTTGCATCTCTCAGCCACTGACTTTAATACCTTTATATGCCCCCTTAGGTTTTTATTTCTTTTGTTATTTATTCCAAACAGGAATGATAAAAATGCCTTACCCTGCTGCGAAATATATAAAAGGCAGCTCCAGCACATATCTCCAATAAGATGATGATTATCAGGATGCAGATGAACTAATCCGCCAAGAAAGGGAGATAAGTGAGTTAGCCTTGAATAAACTTAAATCACATTTAAAGAAGACCGTCTCAAAACTATCTGCAAACATTTGGTTCATACACAAGAAAGCATGGAGGAGTTATCCTGAAATGCCCCAAAATGTCCCAAAAAGGACACAAGAGTGATGATGACTCCCACAGCAATGAGGACGATTGCGATTTTGGACAAGCCACTCCCTGCAAAGGTCCCGATCTGACTGTAAGTGGAGTATTGCAGGGCTCCAATTGTGATAAGGGCAATCCCAGATGCCTGAGGGACAGAAACAACTCACAATGTTGCTGTAGAAATTTTAAGCAATAACAACCAACATCAAACATTTAGAATACTGCTTCATTCCGATTAAATTCAATTTAATTACATCTCTGATTAGCATGTAGACATAATGCTTTTTATTGCAATTTTCCCTCTATTGTAAGTACTTATGTCCATAATAACAGACATGCTGTAAAGTCTGTTTCACACTTGCTTAGTCAAAAAAAAGGACTGATAAGTGTTCTCTAAACTAGTTGAGTAAAATCTTAATAAATTCTAAAATTGTTTCTGGTTTTAAACTCAGAAGCTCCAGAGCCTGGTCTCCTATGTAAAGCGATACCACGTTGGACTTATCAGCCAGTGAGAAGCAGACTTGGGGTAAAACAAACTACCGGTATGTCATGTTAGCCCAACAACAGAAAAACTGATTTTAGCACAAAAAAACCAAATATTTTTAGGAATAAAAGTGCTCTTCAGGTTTGAAGATGTAAATAATCTATAACTGTAGCCAAATAGTACTCTGACTTTTTTATGTTTAAAACATGTCATCTTCTCCGACAGTTTATAATTATAGTCAAGTAATGAAGAATAACAGAAGGCACCAGCACTTTTTCACTTTGTTGAAGGAATGAAAATTAAAAATCAGTAATATAAGAAGGACCCTAAAATGTATCTAAAGGAATTCAGACAAAATATTTTGAACATAGCATCTGATAAGGTCTTATCATCATTCTTAACAGACTTCAGAAGTCCCTCTTTTAATGAATTAAGAGCCATTTTGACAAGAGCCAATGTTCCAAATGGAGATTTTAAAGGCACCTGAAGAAAATAGAATCTGGCAGGTGAAAGTGCAGGGCCAACGATACAGGCCTTTCTACACTGTGGTTCATATAAACACAGTAACCAAATTATGTCATTGCTTTAATGTTATGCATGCATCTTTCCTCTGCCACCAAGTTTCCTTTTGTGTCTGCCAGTTAAAAAAAAAAAATATATGTATATAAAGGCTGCTAGTGCCTAAAACAATATTTTTAACAAAAAAAGTATCAAAAGCTTGTGTTCAAGGTGTTCTGAAGGGACTTAATCATGCATTAATCATGCAAAAAAGGTAATCCTGTCTGCTTGTTATCTCTGAAATGTTCTTTTTGCTTTGGTAATTAATAGAAAACCATAGGGCAATAGATACTTTTTTGATCTATAATTTGATGAAGATAAACTAAAGAAAGTGTACTCTTTTAAACTGAATCCCTGTATTTTCTGCACTTATATTGCACTTACTAGACATATAGTACATTGTTCCCCTGTAAAATCTGATATACATTTATGTGTAAAATCTGATATAAATAGATGTATATCAGATTTTGGGTATATCAAACATTGTTATTTCTTCCCTACTAACTCAAATACATCTTCATTATGTTGTACTTTTGGGCTATATTGGTAAACTTGACATGCACATCTAACATGATAGTTAAAAAAATGAAACTGTTGGCAGTACTCACCAAGAAGATGGTGTTGAAGAAAATGAAACAACATTTGAATGAGCAGCAAGAACTCATTGTGAAACAATGGTGTCTTATACTGAAACAACTGAAAAATGTTCCCTTTTCTAAGTGCGACAACAGCTCACAGTCTTGGCTCAGAGTTACTCTGCCGTGAGTGAAACGCTCAGGTGTAATAAAATGAGCAGTAACAGGATAACATTTAAACTTGGATATCAGATCAAAGCACATGGTTCTTTTGAATGCATTTGCATTGTGTTATCATGTAAGACTAACTGAGATATTAACAAGAGAAGATGCTCACCTGAATACCTAATGGTTGCCTTCAATAAATGATAAAATGTTGGTTGACAGGGGCGGCCCAAAATTTTCTCTTTAATTGGGAGCAAGCAAAAAACTGGGGACAAAAATATATATTTCATGTTTCAGTTTATAGAAATTGTATTGTGTGACTCACCACTATCTACCTAAACTCTAACTGCATCTGTTTTGCATATTTCTTTGTGGCTTTTCATTTGGCTTCAAAAAAGGAATTCAAGGGATTTCTATCCTGTAGCTTCATATGCACATGAAACCACCTGCTGGCCCATGGCACAACGAGTCAATAATCTAATCTGTGGTGCTTCTATGTATTTTTATCCTTTAGGGCCTCGAGTAACAAATAACTATTATTTTTATATATCTTATTATTTATATTTATCTTTTATTCTTTTCTCCATACTGGTAGGCAACTATATATCTGCCCTGTAGTGAAGTAATATGTTGTATGGCAGTTGCCACTGAGGGGCACTCTTCTTAGTTATAGTGAGTTTGGTTTGAATGCAATGATAAGGAAGAACGCTTGCTTATTAGTTGTAAGAATAATTGAAGTCAAACACTGTGTTAATACAGCTGATTGAGGAGCAAAAGTTCTGAAACTTGCAGCCACTACGCTCACGGCAACAAGGATAAAGTTTCATGGATGCCTCGAATGAAAAGTTTGCATACATGAGTTAGTCTACGTGCCAGGAAGTTTTCTGCAGAAGACACTTTGGCTGAAACATGCCAGCCTCCATGGAAGGAAGCATCGTCTGATAACCAGTCCCAGACGTGTAAAGAGTACTGTGAAGTTCTAAATCACCTTATTTAAGCTATAACAGAACCATGTATGATATGCGTGACTCAGACCCAGACTCACGCTCAGCATCTTCCATCTGAGAACACAGAGACAAGACAGACTGACAAGGAAGAAGTTAAACTGACACCAATACAGTAGAGGAAATAGGGTTGGACACTGAGGATGTTTTTATTAGGGAGGAGGAGAAAAAAGGCTGCTACACAACTAATCCACAGCCGGCTTCACACCGGCGCAGCAATGATATTGCATATTATGGGGTAGAAAAAAAAACACTGATAATTTTCCAAGTCGATTTTACAGGGCAGCTGTTTTGGAATCCTCTCGAACCCTGCCACAGACACGCCATCTCTGCCTATAAAGGTAGTTGTCCGTCTCCTGGCTGGAGCCCTGCTTGTGTTTACCTGCATGTACTAAGAGAGTATGAAGCGCACTGTGCAGGTGGTGGTCCATCATCTCATAATGGTGAGATCCTCAGACAGACAGATTTTTCACATATACATGTAAATAAGGAGGTAAATATGTTTAAAATGTATCATATTTTTAGTTAATTTGACATTCACATACAGAAACCTTGCATAATGTATGGTTTTCAGAAAAAGTGGAAATTTTCTGTCCCAGCTTAAATTCTTTTACTTGGCATTTGGCTCTTGCGTAGCTGCAGGAAACCTGGTCCATCTCCCCCTTTTGGAAAAGAAACGAGGCCTCTAGCCTGAACACAGCAGTCTCCATCTGAATCAGCTTCAGGGATGTCAGAATTTCCTCTGTTCTGGAGCTCTTCTTATGCTTGAATTTCCCCACTGTCAATACTGTTTTACTTCTTTTCTCAGAGACTAGGCCAGACTTACTAGCCAGAGGGAACTACAACCTTAGGCAAAAAATAAAAAATAAATAATTTTCCCTGGAGTTTGTTTGTACCTGTAACTTTACAGTAAGAAGACAAAATTACAGATGTGGCATAAAGCCTAGCATCCTGGACTTCTAAAACATGGTCCAAAAACAATTATGCAATTGTTATTATTAATCATATAAATCTTAATATTATAAAGTACAAGAAGCACTCAAAAATAATAATAAAAAAAACAAAAAAAGAACCCAACAATTAAAAAAAAGTCCTTCATCAGTTAAGTCCAAACTACACCTTTACAACATCTTTACAAGGAACCAGTTTGTTCTTTATTAGTATTTCTCTTACCTAGATATTTTAAGACTTTTTACGGTTTTTGCTCAAAGCACAGATCATTAAATAACTTTAAAAAAAAATCTTTGAACTGTTTTTAAACTGTTGGAACTATCACTGTGGCGACCATCTGCCCATTTATTGTCATTTTCTTATAATTGTCTAAAATGTGCAGATTTTCATTAGTTATTTTCATTTGAATCTCTGAAGTGTCACCAAACCAAGATATAATCCATAGTTTAGTCAGTGTGGACACAGGATTCACTACAAATCCCTTTAAACTCAATATTTTTTAGGTATTAGAATAATTATTTTTCTGTCTTTTAATAAATTTTAGTAGCATTAATTCCTTACAGTTTTATCCCAAATGCTGACATGTGTTTCTACCCATTTATGTGTTTTTTTTTTTTGGTAGTGTATTTTCTGTTTTCAACACATTGCCTAGAGTTTTATGTCCTGATGTTTTAATATCTTACCTTGACTACAGTACCCCACAAAAATGTTAACATCCAATGATTTCTTTTAAATGTAATTTGTTATCTTACAAACAACAAATTCTGTATTTTATTGGGATTGTTTACAGAGATACTAATAAAAATGAAATGTCTTGCATCTCAGAATCCAATCCATCATCTGCAATAATTCCCAGCCGCCTTTCCACATCAATCTCATTATCAGTGTTCTTTATGCATAGAAGTAGCAAGGAGGAAGTAATTAGAAAAAAGTCAGATATTTGTGTCCAAATACAACAACTAAAAGTAAAAAGTTCTCTGGCACACATACTGAAAAATGCGATTTCACTAGAGCAACTAAGTATGTATATAATAGCGCCACAGATCCTATATTATTATCTGTATTACCGGTAGTCCCAATATTTAAGAAAATTCTATAGAGGCAGATTTATCCAGTCTATTTCTATGATACATTTTAATTCCAATAAATATCTTTAACAGCAGGACACCTTTATGGGCAGGTGCCTTGGATTTAATAAATATAGTCAAATTAAACCATAAACCAGGGCATAGAGCTATGAATCCTGAGGATGTGAGTTTGAGCCCCACTCCCACAGACTGTAGCTCTGGGTCCCTGAGCAAGACCCTTTAACACCCACACTGCTCCCCGAGCGCCCCACGATGGCAGCCCGCCGATTCCCAAGGGGATTTGTTAAATGCAGAGGTGAATTTCTCCAATATGAGATTAATAAAGTTCAATTATTATTAATATAATTCAATGTTTTTGCAGCTTTTTTTCCTGACCTTATATTAATCCCAAGTTGCCTTTTTTATGATAAATATTACATTCATACTTCCTTGTAGATTGGAGTTTGATTTAATTACTTGACACCTCTGAGCAGTCATCAGGTTGGGTAACTCTGGAGGAGCTGCATAGGTCCATAACTGGTGGGAAAAACTGTCCACAAATATTTATTATTTAAGTATTTAGTAAATCTATGTGTGTTGTCTAAAAGCAACGCTGCATATCACCCTAAATCCACTATCACTTTTGTTAAACAGAGTGGTAACAGAATTATGCAATGGCAGTGCTTTTCTTTTGCAGGAACAGATAATCTGTCAAGGTTAATAGTAAAATGGATGGAGCTAAATGCAATACAATACCAAGAAAAAGTCAGATGCTGCAGATAGTTGAGATTGGACAACATCTAGAATAAAATAAAGCCATATAAATGGAATCGTTTAAATCAGGGTATTAATCTGTTAAAATTAAGCATTCAAGGTACAGACCTAATTGCAATTGAGTATCTGTGAACAAACTGATGTGGATGATGTGCATCCAGTATGACTAAAGTTGAGCTATTTTGGAAAGTACAATGGTTAAAATACTAAATAATAAAAAATAAATAAATAAACCACAGCTAGAAGCTCAAATATCCCATATGTCTGATTAGCAAAAAATGTAAACATGATTTACTGAAAGGAGCTGAGTACAAATGCACACCAAACCTTCTCAGATGTTTATTAAAGGTTTGAAAACAACTCTTTTCCACACAATAAAAATGAACTGCTTATTGTTCTCCTATCACCTAAATCCTCATCAAACAGATGCTGTGGTTACATAAGCAAATGCAAAGATGTTCAAGGGGTGGGATTACCTACGCATGCTAGTTAATAAACTGTATCACATCTAGGGCTACAACTAACAATTCTTTTGCAAATCGATTATTTGTTTGATTAATTGATTAATAATTGGATAGCAAAGTTTTTTTTAAAAACTAAATTAAACCAGGTGAAACTAAAATGTTTCCACGTGAGGAGTTCTGGATAGAGCATATTGACAGACGAAAACTTTTACTTTCAATCTTAAATACAAAATGTTTGAATTTTATTTACATTTTTTATATAATTACTGCTCTAAGTGGGTTTCTCTGTCAGCTAAAGGCTTATTTTAGAGTCTCTATACTCTAGTTAACAATTAATCAGTTACCAGCAATAGTTGATTATTTCAATAATCAATTAATCAAGATTAATCCGATTAATTGGTTCAGCCCTTATCACATCACTCCTAATTTTACTTGTCGAATATTGTAATACTAAACAGATTCCTCCTAAGCTGAGAACTTTTACCCAAAAATCTGAGTTGTGTGCAGAGAGACTCTGTTACTGCCATCAGAATGAGTCCTTTGTGTACACTGATAAGATTCATTCAACTTCACCCAGTAAAGTTTATCTGATTGCATAAAATACACTACAGTTATAAACAATATCGCTTTAGATTACCTCTGTTATATTTGCGTCAGTGATGGTAATTTCCCAATGCATAGTACTCTGCAGAACACTGTTAATGCAATCTACAACCATCCGGGGTGAAAGGTCCTCCAACAGGAGGTGCATCTTCCTCTTATTCAGTCTTTCCAACACAAGGAAGCATCATTAAGTCTGCCTTTTGTTTCAATATACGTATAGTTAGAGCAAGTTTCTGGAAATGAGACCACAAGGACTTAAAGAGAAAAAACATGTCTTTGAAGGACTCAACGAGAACAGGAAGTTCAATCTTTGCTATAGTTGGAGCACTTAGTGCTCAGAAAGGACTTTGTCCTTCCCACGCTGCAATGCTTTTCCTGTTTAGAATTCCAAAAGAATTGGTCGAAACTTTGAAACCTTTTTCTTATCTGATAAGGATAATTCTCTCTAAGCACAATGTGCTTCGAGGCAATAAATCTTTCACTGTTTTTCTGTCCATTATTACTAAAAAAAGAGTGAAACAGCCAAGAATGTGTAACTTTCTTTATATTTATACAGACTTTTGATAACATGGCCGCTAGGCAGTGAGATAGGGATAAATTGCAGGGTAGATACATGAAACAACACTTTTTCATCATCCCAACGATAAAGAACTAAAGTAAGAAAAAATAAATACCTTAAGCAACTCATTTTTAAACAAAAGGAACACTGGAACATTCTTGTTTGTATTTATATGAAATGTTTCCTGAAATTAAACTGATTTCTCCTGAAGATTTCATTGTTTGTTGTTGCATGAAGATATGCGAGCTTGATTAATGAGGTATCTAAAAACAGTGATTTCATCCGTTTCTCAGGGTGGCTCTGCTCCATTAGTCCACATACTTTTAGTGCAGGGCACGAAAGTAGAAAATCGCCTCCATATGAAAGTTGTTAGTGATTTTTAAAATCATTCTAACCTGAAATAATCCACTCTTCACAAAGTAACGTGCATGTTTGAACTCTACTAACACTAACACATGGGTCTCATATCAGTTGAAAAATGAGTCCCAGATGGGTTACATAAAGGCCCCATGTCATTCAGCTCCAAGGCTATGTGACTAGTATGAATCACAGGCACATTTCTTTTCTTTTTCGTTCTTTGAAATCAAATACTTGGCAACTGATATTATGCTATGTATATGATTTGCCAACACAACGATGTAGAAATAAGGGACAACTCAAGACTTAAGCAGATTTGTCCTAATAGTTTTTTAAAAGTCAGTGTAGTTGTGGTATGTTGTACAAAAATAAAGTGAAAACTAAATTCCTCTCTTCTGTTTACCCAATAAAATTATTTCTAATGTATGTTGCATGGTGTCATTTTGTAAGGATACTTCAATGTTTGTTACTTAAATTCTATACAAACCTACACTAACCTTCTGTAGTTTTTTCTTAAATGAATAAAACTGTTAGAAACAGTGCTTGCATTTTTATTCAGCTCTTGTTAGTCAATATTTAGTCCTGGCAGTAGTTGTATAGTAATTTGTGCTTATTTGTGTGTCTATAAGGTCACCTTCCCCCTTGACCTCAAGCTATTATGTGCCTGAAGGTTTTCTTCTTCTTGACTGTATTTTCCTGCACCCATCTGCATCACTTGAGAGGAACTTCCATTTTCCTGCAAGGGAAAAGGATCCCCTCACAATCATCCTACCACCATCAAATAAACTTGTTTTTTTGTGCACCACTTTTAATATTGTAGGAGTGTGAAATAGTCATTATATTGTTTTTATCTTTTCACAACCCCTTCTTCTAGATGTTTAGTCTTTTTTCTACTTGTTTTTAAAAAAAAAAACTGTTGTGAAAGTCACATTGCTGGAATGTATGACTACGTTATTCTTTTGTGTTTGTGTTTTATTCAATTCAATATTATGTTCTTATTCCAATTTATCTGTGTCCATTGTTCTTGTGTTTAGCATAGTTTATTCTCTTTTTTCTTTGTACTTATTTCTGAAAGCTCGCTAATATATTTATACCTCTGTTCAGCGAAAATATAATCGTGCCAATGAGTCTCCTTCTCTCAGTTCCCAGCTTAGATTCTGTCACGCTTGCTCTTCATTCTGTTGATTGTACTCTCCTGGTTTCCAAGTTCCACCTCCACAGAAGTCTCTCGTTTGTGCATTCCCATGGAGGGTCTGCCATATAAACGACCGTCCCAAACCACATAGTGGGTAGGGCAAGTGGACCATTCATTCAAATCTGTAAGGACTCTTAAGTTATGTCAGAAGCGTTTAATCAGTCACCATAGCAAGAGCTATCCAGATACTACTGCCAATAAGGAAGGTGCTAAGACCTAGAAGCAGTAATGCCAATTCTTTTAAGCATAGGTACCTCCTGAAGTTCCTATTTGCCGCTAGGATCTATACGATTACCCACAATACTTTGCTTTACAGGATGTATAGGAACAGGGCACCTCAAAAAAGAAATTCATTATTTCTACTTTGTGTGACACGTTCTAATCCACACACTTTCATATTCAATTCAATTAAATTTCAGTTTATTTTTATAGTGCCAATTCACAACACATGTCATCTCAAGGCACTTAAAAGTTCAACCAGATCATACAGTCAAATTGATTCAAAGTTTTCTATTTAAGGAAAACCAGTTGATTGCATCGACTCATTGACTCAAATGCAATCTGACTAAGCGTGCTTGTAGCGACAGTGGAGAGGAAAAACTCCCTTTTAACAGGAAGAAACCTCCAGCAGAACCAGGCTCAGTGTGAGCGGCCATCTGCCGACTGGGGTTCAAGGAGACAGAAGCAGAGATTCAAATAGCAACTGTAAAAGGCGACCCCGTCCAGGAAACACACAGCCAGGCAGATGAGCTCCGAGCCAGCTCCCATGTCAGAGGATGAAGAAAGCACAGCCAGTCAGTCACGGTCAATGAAACAGGACCACACTGGAAAACACGCCGATCTCCAGCATCTATAAACACGGGGGTTGATGGCAGCAGCACAGCTGATATTTCTCTCCAGGATGATGTCACAGCCTAACAGGAATAGATGAGGCAAAGCTACTATGAGAAAAAGCAGAGAGAGCATTACGTTAGAAATTGAATCAACAGATTCTGCAGAGTGGGAGAATAGAGATAGAATGAAGCAGAATGATGAAAAGGGGGTCCCTATGTCCTTCATAAGTCTAAGCCTATAGCAGCATAACTTTAGAGATAGCTCAGGATAACCTGAGCCACTCTAACTATAAGCTTTATCAAAAAGGAAAATTTTAAGTCTACCCTTAAAAGTAGACAGGGTGTCTACTTTTGTCATATGTGTTGGGTTCTATAAGGGAGAACTTCAGCTGTTCGTCACATTTGTGTACGTTTGTTTTTTGTAGTTCTTTTCTGGAAGACAAGTTCTAAACGACGGCTTTATTCATGCATAGTCATTCAAATATCCAGTCTCCATCATACATTTGCGACACCCTGTCGCTGTTTGATTCCTCAGCTACCTTTAAACATGGCATTGTCGAATTGACTGATTCTCCTATCTGTGCTGTGGAGGTCTACAGGACCTTCAGAGGTACATTTGTCCTTTTGGCTGCGCCTCTAAATAATTTAAATATATTTTACTGAAAAAAGTCCATCATAGAAGAACTTGATATTACTGAGATTACCAGGCAAACTGAGCTTATTGCAAACGAACACAACAACCTGAAAAACATTTATCACTTTATTTTGACTTCACAATGGCATACTCGATTGTGTAGGTACATCACATCACATACCAATAAAACTGTTTTTCTTAGAATTAAATTATGTGGAGCTTAATTCAGTGAGGGAAGGAGCAACCCCTGAAGGCTTTATAACTGTTGTTTAAACACTGAAATGAGATAAAGGTAGCCTGTAGCCAACACATGTTCACAACAAAAGAGCTGTTCACTGCACAACATCAGACACACCTTGGATGCTGCTATTTGAATGTCATTTGCAATAAATGGCCATTGTTTACAGCAGACCTTTGAGGCCACATAATCCCAACTATCCACTTTTTTTTTTTTACTGGGATCAAACTAAAAGCCGTCTCTGAGATTTTTCCAGATATCCGCGCCGACACACAGCAGTGAGTGCTCTGAGAGAGTTGCTCTACTGGCTCTTCTTGTTTCCTCGCAGTGGCTGTGTTACAACAACTCACGCAACACTTTGTTGAGTGTTTACAGGGAAACGTTAGTAGGACAAAAAGTACAATGGCAGAGACAAGCTGACAGTGGACATATGATTTCAAAGAAGGGGGGCGTTTTAGAGGTAATTATGCTCTAAAGTGACTTTTTGATGCTTTATTTCTTATACATCTTTTACCTCTGTTTGCCTTCAGATAGAATGCTTTTGTTCACCCACACATTTCCTCCTTTTACTCTTTCCTCCCCTTTCCAGCACACAGGATCAGCAGGGGGGTGGACATCTGTGTTTTTGATTGGCCTTCTGATAACTCTGTCTGTTTCCTGCACATGTACTGAGGGAAAACAGAGCCCCTCTCTGTCAGGACCTCAGAAGATGTGTGGACACAGACAGAGCTGTGAAGTTGCAAATAACTTTTACCTTGAGTTGATCAAGTAGGAAAAACCAACCCACGGGGGAAAAGAGCCGGTCTTACAGATTAGCAACTGTTTCAAAGTCAGCCGGTGACCTATTGTTCGGACTAAAAGATGGACAAGGATGATGCAAAGCCGAAGACATATGTTTCCACCTTCCGACTGGCGCTCAAGCCTCAGGGAGGGAAGCAGAGAGAGAATGGACTGGAGACCAAAAACAGGATGTTAACAGGAAACAGCAAGCTAAGAAGTTCATCTTCAACAGGTAAAAATTACCCAGAAAAAGCTTGATTTATACAGTTTTTACAGAAAAAAAAAACAATTTCATAATCTTCTATGGACCAAAATACATGTAATGCATTTAAAATGAAAGAATGAGTATATTTTGTATCACATAATAGAAAGAACAGAAATAGCTAAAACGTTTTAATATATTAAGATGCCGTTCATATGTTTTGAAAAAGATGAGCAACAAACAGAGTAAGTTTCTAAATGTTTGAGGGATCTTAATGATGAAGTATTTTTTTTCTTCAAGATGCAATAAAAAATAATTAAATAGAATTTGAGTTATTGCAGGGCTGCACAGTGGGTAGAACCGCTGCCTTGCAGCAAGAAGGTTCTGGGTTGGACTCCCGGGTGAGTTCTCTCCGGGTACTCCAGCTTCCTCCCAAGTATGTCCATAAACATACTTATTACCGTAGTTTAATAGGCTTCTCTTAATTCTCCTTAGGTGTGAGTGTGTGTGTGTGAATGGCTGCCCTGCGATAGTCTGTCAACCTGTCCAGGGTGTACGCCGCCTCTCCCCCATTGACAGCTGGAGATAAGCTGGAAATGGATGGAGGGGTCAGAAAATGGATGCTATGTGACTTTATTGCAATTAAAGTCACATTTTTAAAGATATACAAGGATACCAAATCTTGTAAATAACAGAAAGTAATATATAAGGTCTGAGGCAATGTATAAGGTGTGAAAGTAATGTATGAGGTGTGAGGTCTAAAGAAAAAATCTTAAATATTAGTTATAAATGTACTCCAAATAGGCATGAAAATCATAAAGGAACACAATAAATAAGTCAGAGGAATTCGTTGAGAATTTTAAAGCTACAATATATGGAACAACTGAAGATACGTCTGTCAGCCCTAAATGTGCCAGGAATGTAAAAAGCAACTGATCTAAAGCTGAGGGTGAATGGATGCGTCTTTAGTAAAGATTGGGGTAAATTCTGCCCAAACTTTTACTTATTAGTATACAAGCAAAACAGTAAGAGGCTGCTAAAGTCTGACTGCTACATTAAAACATATTCAGCTTCCAGTACGACAACATCCCTAAATATGCAACCAGAGCAACAATGAAAGGCTTTTTTTTATGTCACAAAGGCACAGTCAAAGTTCTGATCCAACTCTAATTGAGAATCTTTGGCAAGACATTAAAAAGTTATTTCACAAGATCTTTTCCAGTTAAACTGAAAGGGCTTCAGTTAACTTACAGTAGATATGATAAACTATTTTGGACAGACTTGCAGCATTTTATCATGACTAAAAATGGAAATGAATGTGAAAAAATCTCCTGGGGAAATATTGTTTACATAAGAAACATGGATGGACTCCAAACTAAGATTCAAGCTGTATTCACGTGTAATATTTACTGAAATTAAACAATGAAATTACTCAAAAATAAGTTAATAGCAATTAGTAGTATTTAAAAAAAAAAAAAAAAAAGACA